GCACTGAAATACAAATCGCACTTGTAAATTGCACCTGCTTTGAAAGGCGGAGGATAGCAATGTCGTTGGAGACAGGGGCTGCTACGTAGCCGGGATGGATTATCTTTTCCGCAATGACGATATCCACTGGGCTTGCGCCATCATAGACCTTCGGATCTAAATGCAAATCTCCAACTCGGACCAGGTTTCTTGAGACAGAATGAGAGGAAAAATATTAACAAAAATCACCGGATCAAGCTAAATAAAAGTTCAAACAGGTCATTAGAAAGATTTGACAAATGGCATGACTTTTTTGTGCGACGAAATAAAATTACCATCGTATCAAAAGGTGTTAGATAAATATATTGGAACAAAGATGGTGTTGCGCTCTGATATTGCAACTGATTTTGACCTTTTTAATCCAGTTGACGCCTTACATTTACGTAATGGTAACTGCTCGCCAACATAATTCATGCATTACTTGTAGAACAGTGGTGCTAACATTATGATGGTGGTTGGCGTAAAGCACCAACAAGTGTTACTACTATCACTTGAAATAAGTCTTCCTATTAGTTACAGACCTATTTATTTACAGACGAGAAAAAGCACTAAAAATCTATGGACTAGGTATGTGGACCCGGTTCAAAAATCAAAGGCGGTACAACTTTTCTACGCAACTTTTCTTCACCACTTTTCTACGCATGCGTTTAAGTCTCATAGATATACCCTGCATGCCACCTCTCGTAAGTTATTTGGCAACGATGTATACTTTACAACAACTTCATCCACAAACTAAGTCTATAGATATAATCTAGGTCTACCTAAAGGTATTGTTTACAAATCAAAGAGAGTGCTAACTTTTCTATACGTGCGTTTAAGTCTCTGAGATGTGCTCGAACTTCGAATTATTTTTCTACATGGCAAGTGATCAGGTCTAGACAAATTTAGTAGGGGGGAGGGGGACCTCTTTTTCCTTACTTCTAAAAAGTTTTGAGGATAAGAAACTAATTTTTTTCGCCCCCTCCCCCCGGAGGATTTGCCACTTACTCCTCCTGATTGGAATGAATGGATTCGACTAGTAGCTCGGGCAGTAGCGAGGCGTGAATGATCGATTAACGATACTTTTCCATATGATGCAATGGTAAAGAATCGATTATTACGGTGTTCGTTACGAACACACTGTATATCGATCCTTTTCAATAGGTTTAAATGGCAGATCAATCGATACATCGCAAATCACGCCACGCCACTTGTAGCTCGGGCCTGTAAGGCTGTGCCAAGAAAATCGTGGTGAGAACACTTTACCATGCAAGCTGTGATTTTTTCCACGTTTCAGAGAATTTTACCCGTGTTCTGACATAGTGAATCAAAAAATCTGAAGGAAAAATTCTTAAAATATTTCTCGGGGGAATTTTGGTCGAATGCGAATGTCACGGAGCATCCTTCCGAAACGAGTTGATTCTAAGAGCCTTCAGGTTCAAAAACCCTATAGGTCTCGGCTTGGGCGCGCTTTACTCCAGTTATATAAGTTCACAGTTCCACGATGTGTAACTTCTGAATCCTGTGACAGTTTGGTGTACTACAAGTTCAACGTCCGTTAAAACTATGATGAAAATCCACAAATGGAGGTTAAAATGGAAAGTGCCGGTTGACTCTATTGCATCATATGCGCTATCTGTCCGGTCATCTTTCAGTGGCAAAGCGTGAATGATCAGCTATCGATATTTTTCCATTTGGAGCCATGATAAAGAATCGATTATTAAATTACTCGTTGCAAACAGCCTATATATCGATCTTTTTCCTCGCTTTAAGTGGCAGTTCAATCGATGTATCGCAAAGCACACCATGCCATCGTCATTTTTCCCTGTGCCCGCATTTCACACGGGCGTCCCTCCGGTGTGTTGTGCAAGCCTCCGAAATGACCCCTCATTTTGACTGACCTCTTGGTCAATCAAGCCCACATCGTTATTTTGTGATAATTCTCACTTTTCATCTTTTCTCTCTCATTTCGTTGTTTTTGTAAACCTGGGAAAATTTCCCGCATGATTCGGATTTAAATATGGATCCTGAGTTTTAGCGCAATGCATTCTGGAATATTCTGCCGTGCTAAGGAAGAACGCCATATGAGCCTTCAGACGTTGCAAAATTTCCTTTGATTAAATACGAATTTTCAGGAAAATTGGTAAATATTTTCCTTCCAATTTTTCAGAGAATTGTTTTATAATTAGATCTAAATCATCTGAAATCTTCAAGAGAAATTATTTATAACCCTCCTCGTTAATAAAAATTTCATTGGAGGAAATTTGGCAATTCTCGAATGTACATACGGCGTTTTGTCCGGCTTTAAAATACTTCGTAAGGCCTTGTCTCCACGGGACTGTTTCATGGGATTTGTCCCAAGTTCGAATCGCAGGAATGAAACTTCTGGGATTTTTCCCAGTTACCGTCTCCACGGGACGGGGCTCATACAGTCTTGCGACTAGTTTGCGCGGGAAGATAAATTAGTTAAAGTCGAGTATTTAACCCGGATTAAAATAATAGTTGCACTCAATTGACAATTAGACACATTATTTTAACAAAACAAACATTAACAATGTAGTAATGAATAAAATATCGCACAATTCGTTTTCACTTCTTCTTTTTCTCTCAGTGGGTCATAGGGGTACAAGTACCATTCTTGGTACTGGGAAAAATATTGATTAACTCAATATTTTTCCCAACTTCGTAAGTGGGATTTTCCCCTGGGACAAATCTCGTGAAACGGCTCGTGGAGACAAGGCCTAAAGACTATGTCAGGTATGGCAAGTGGCCATCGATAGGAGCGATTTGAGGTGCTTACAGTTGCCACGTCCCGGTGGTTTTGATGCAATGAGCTGCCGTGATAACATGGCTGGTGGATACGAGGGCACCTCCGCAGAGAAATT